TAGGGTGAGGGGGTGGCTGAATGAAGGGGAGAGAGTCTCAAAGCTATAAGTTTAAGAAATTTGTTTTTGTTCTTCATTTTCAAAACCAGCAGATCACACTGACCTAGTTGAATTCCTGTCCACTTATTGGTTTCAGGAGCTTCTGTTTTGCCTAACTCCCAATTAGTAAGGCCACCTTGCAAGGCCTCTTGTGTGCTGATTTCATGCATACCTTGTCCATGTTGCCTTTCTTCTCTAATATTTCTCAAGTCTGTGCCTGGTTCTTCATCCTAAAGACATTCTGCCACCCAGATCTCTTTGCTGTTCTTCCTGTTCGAACCAGGTACTCAACAACTGGCTGTTCTACCATTTTCTGGTTTTTTTTTTTTTTTTGGTTTTACAGTTTATTAAATCCTCTCATGAAAAAAGTTGCAGTCACTGCAGACAGGCATTGCAGGATCTCTACTCCTTCGGCTGTTCTCCAGACTCCAGCTCACTGCCAGACACTTCAGTTCTTTTTGCCAGCACCAATGTTAGCCTTTATGGTGCCCCTGACTTTCATCATTCTATTCTTGCATTCCTTCCACTGCTTTGTTGAGGTCTTTTTCTTCTCATACAGGCTGTGTCTTGTAAGTCTTATGTTTGGGCTCATTTTTCTTCGCATAATCCAGGGAATTGTAAATCTTGCCAAAGCCAGTCATCTTGCCACCACCAAAATGGGTTCTGAATCCAAACACAAAAATGACATCTGGTGTGGTCTTGTACGTGTTGGTGAGTTTTTCCTGAATTTCTGTCTTAAGTACTGTTGCTTTCCCAGGGTGAAGGACATCAATGACTATTTGTTTCCTTTGAAGAAGTTGGTTGGTCATGAACTTCTGGGTTCGGATAGTTACTGTGTCATTCATGATGACAATGAATTCTCAGACAGCCGGGGAGGAAAAGAGCTGTTCTACCATTTTCTTAGGCTTGATTTCCTTCACTGGGACATTAAGGGCAATTGTTATCCAGAAGTATTTAAGAACCTCAACTTTGAGTATTGCCACCCACCCCTTTCCTGAGGCTGCTCTCCCTAGACTTGGAGAGTTCATAGTGGCCTGGGAAAATATCTGTCTTCCTGTGGATTGTTTTCTTCATCTTCATGCTGTGTTCTCTGCTTCTGTTTCTGTACTAATGCCACCTGTTTCTCATTTAATATACTGTTCATAATTATTCTACAGTTTATGATGCTTTATTCCAACTCACATTGATTTATGGGTCTAGTGCCGATCTTTGTTTTTGATATTGTTTGGTTTTTCACATGTTCTTTTATGTATTTAACTTTTTACATTTCAGACATTGTAGGTAAAGGTTATCAGAGATGAAGTGAAGAATATTAATGCTCTGAAGTTTCTTCTTTAAGGCTCTTTCTGTATGTGGGGTTGGAGTTGGAGGCAATCAGTGATTGGCTTGAATTTAGTTTCCTGTTGTTGCTGCAGTAGTTAACTTCACTGAATTAGTGCTGTAAAGTTTCTGTAGTAGTGCACTGCTGCTACCTTGTTCTTGGTGTGGAGCCTAGAGAACTGGAGTATTTTTTGTTAGTGTTTAAGTCACTTCCTTAGCCTTTAGCAGGTTTTTGGATGTCTGTATCGCAGGATGATCTCTTAGCTTATTGTAACCTTTGATTAGTCACTGAATACTATGAGCTTTATGTTGTTAATTTTCAATATCTTGCTATCATTCTGTAAAAACTTCTGCATTTTATTTTGCTATGCAGTTACTTTGGGTCATTTTTGGATCATGTTAATATCCTTTTATATCTTTTTAAAATTTATTAGTGCTTCTGTTAGCAGTGCCTTTCTTTAGTGAGTAAAGCCAGTGAACTTTGACTTATAAAACAAATGTGGTCTACAACCTTAAATTAAAAACTAAGAATAATATGTGACAGGGATTATGTCTGACATAGTTTGAGATATTAGCTATTTTACTCCATAAGAAACATGTTTTGATCTCACTTTAACTATAACTTTAAAGATGTTTTCTTGCTGTATGCTCCAGTTTTTCTGTGTGATAATTTCATTATATTTGATTGGAATTCATAGACCTCCTAGTTTTGCCCAATCTCTGAGAGATGTTTAGTTTTCAGCTCTCCATATTTAAGTTTTACCTTTAATAATTGTTTTATTGCCAGCTTTGTGAAATCTCACTTTTAAATGCAGATCTTAGTATGCGTGTATAGCTCACTATGCAGCCAAAGACTCACAGGATCTCCTCTGCGGAATTCTGAGTGTTTTGTTTAGGCAGCTGCCACATACACTGACAAGCACATTTCATCCACCCTAATCTCCCAAAACTTTGGTCTCTGTCTTCTGATTTTAGGAGGATAAGTGCACTTTGCTGTGTTATTCCTTTCTGAGTTGATGTTCAGTAAATGCCCCTAGGCAGAAGACTGCAGAAGTCATAGACATTGGCTTTTTTTTTTTTAAATTTATGCACTTCTGCTTTATTCAGTTTGTTAAACAAAAGCTAATAAAATTATAGTTTCCAAAACAACAGGCACAGAAATAAGTATCTATTTGAAATAAGACCATTAGTTACTTACAAAATTTAATTATAAGAATCAGAGAGTGGTTATTGGTGGAGCCAGTCCACACTGACAGCTCTGAGGTGTGTAGATGCTAGTTTTTGAATAAAGGTGGCAAATACTGATTATATTTCCATAACAATGTTTGAGATCTACATAGTTACCACACAAGGCTAAGAGAATAACCTTGAAATCACCAACAGCTAAACCAAAGATATTATGGATAAAATTATGGGTACTAGAATCAGCAGTGCCTAAAGTTTTAATTTTGTTATTTCATAGAGAATGTAAACTTTTATACCTGTAAAATGGGAATATTACGTAGTACTTCCACAGAACATTGGAAAATGTTTAATAAAATAATCTATGGAAAGATTGAGTACAATATGTAGAAAATTATTATGCAGTCTCTGTAGATCCACTTTTAATTATTCATACAATGAATATACTGGAGTTTTTGTGAGCAGCTTCTAAAATAGCTTTCAGTGATCCCTGTGTACAGTGCATATGCTTATCCAACCAAGCTAAGCTGAGGACAGTTCATGTGTTATATTTTGTCCCCAACAAGTTATACAAACCTTGAGGTATAGAGTAGGAATTAAAATACAATACAAAACTGAACATTAGTTAGATTTCTTCATATACCATACTGATAAAAGCTCCATTAAATACTAGAATAACAAAACTTTACAGCAAGTAAAAGATTCAACAGAATCGTAATTATTGATTTTGTACTATTGCAGAAGTCTAAAAGCATTTCATTAATGTTTTTTAAACAGAGTTATATCTTCATCCATGACATAATAACTAGATTGCTCTCATAAACTAGAAAACCTTAAGAAACATTTTGAGGGACTGGAGATACAGTTTTAGTGGCCTAACATTAGTATGCATATGGCCTTGGGTTCAATCCCCAACAGCAGCAAAGGTACAAAAACATTTTTTAAAAACTATATTTATAAAAATCATTTTCAGTTATGGAACACAAGACTGAATGAACTAAAGAAGATTAACAATAAAACTAATTCCTATGAATCTGGGTGTAGTGGTGCATACCTATAATCCTGTCACTCAGGAGGCTGAGGTGGCAGGATCGCCATGAGTTTGAGGCCAGCCTGGACTGGAGTGAGACTCTGTCATTAAAGCAAACAAACAAACAAACAAACAAACAGAGCCAGAGAGGAGTGGCTAGAACCTCTTAAATACCCACATTTCCACCACTGTTTCTGGTAGAGTTTTGATTCTGTTTTTGATTCATCATGGATCATCTGTTACCTGAAGACATTCAGCTGATGGCTAACCAGCTTATTGATGAGTCCCTGGAGAATACAAGGAAAATTGTGGATTTAGCAAAATTGTGGATTTAGCTGTTCCATCTCAGATACAGGAATCCAGACCATTACCATGCAGGGTGAACAAGGGAACAACTCAGCTGCATAGAAGAAGGCATGGACCAGATAAATAAAGACATGAGACAGAGAAGGCTTTAACAGAACTCAACAAGGGCTGTGGCCTTTGAGTCTGTCCATGTAACAGGACAAAGAACTTTGAGGCTAGGAAGGCCTATAAGGCAATGTGAGAAGAAGGCAGAGACAACTAGCCATGTGGTATGCAAGCAGTCATCCAGAGTCACCATCGGGCAGCCTCAGTAGCCTGCGCTGGAGCAGCCAGCAGCAGATACATTAGCATATAACCAGTGATGCCTTAGAGGAGGTGATGGAGGAGAACCCAACTCGAGTGAGCAGTCCCCTGGGAAATCTAAAGAGCATGACCTTGGAAATGGGCAATGAAATTGGAGCTCAAAATTGACAAATAGGGACCAGCTAGATAGCTCAGTGGACTAAAGTGGCTGTTTAGGCAGAGCACAGTGGTGGGGGTTCAGTCTCCAGCTGTGCCGGCCCCATCTCCAGAGTGCACTGAGACAGTGATTGAGACTGGGAGTGGTGGCACAAGCCTGTAATCCAGCACTTGAGAAGCTGAAAACAGGAGGATCATTACAAGTCTGATCTGTGTAGTAAGTCCCTGTAGACCCTGTACCAAATACATTTTTTTAAAAAAAATTGACAAATAGACTCAATCACAAAAAAGGTTGACACCAGCAAAGATCACGTTGATGTTACCAAATACCAAAGCAAAGAAACTCATTGACAGCTTAAGCTACTGCTGTACTTTGTTACCATTTATTCACTTTTCTAGTTGCTCTTCCTATGCCATTGCCTTTTTAGAGTTGGAAATTTTGATCTAATCTGAAATTTTGTGCTCATCTGGAGGTAATGTAGAAGACAGGCCAGTGGAGTAACAGCCTCCCTAGTTTATTTTCTGTTTCTCTTGAAGGTAGACTACTGCTCTGTCTTCACTATTTTTTCTATTCATATTCTTAGATTGGTTTTCGTACATCCCACCTAGTAGGCAAGGAGAAATACCATCCTCTTCCCCTCAGCAGGTTCTTTTGCTTTTACAGTTTGGAAGGATTGCCAAAGACAGCCTTAAAGTAAAGAAGGCAGCAGTGGAGGTATGTTTTGTTTCTGTTTGTCAGTTTTGGTTTGTAGTAGGTGAAGGACAAGAGAGAAGAGGTTGTTACTTTGGTAAAAATATGCAGGCCACAAAATCAAAAGTTGCATAGCTGCAATAAAGATTGAGACATGTTTAGTTTTTTATTTAAGTTGTAGTTTTTACCAGTTCAGGTTAGTGCTTGGTTTTGAAGCTTTTACACACAGCATCTTTGTCTTACATCACCATTTTGGAACCCCTGCCTCAAAGAGTAGAATAAAATGAGCTTTTTTTCTTGTAAGCTTAGCTGGACATGTTGGCACACACCTTTAATCCCAGCATTTGGGAGCTTGAGGTAGGAGGATCACCAGAAGTTCAAGGCCAGCCTTGAGTTCAGTGCATTTTTGAATTAAAATTTCATACATATACATAGATTCTATGATCCCAGTTCATATTGCATATGCTGGAACAGTTTGTACAGATGTATGGCTTTTTGTTGTCATATAGGTAATAGTTTCATGATCCCATTATAGAACTATTAGCCACATAAGCTTGTCATTAGTGTTTGAAGAAAAAAATGTAAGTATACATGTGTAACACAAGAATCTCTAAAGCAAGCTTAAATTTTTTTTGGAGATGTTTGACAACATACATGATCTCAGGTTTACCTCAATGCTAAGAATTATGTTTAGATAGGAAACAGAAAACTTACTTTGATCTGGGGTAGAAAAATAGATTTGAGTTTCATCTAGCTTTATATGTGTAAAAAGTTAGAATGAACTGTTTCACTAAAAATGATTTGGAAATTATATATCTATATATAGATATGTACCACATATATATCTAAATATTGGCCAAATTTTAGCTCATGATAATACATATGTATATGTATATAAATATTTTACTTTTACTAAT